CGGCAGCTCCCTGGTGGCCTGTGGCGTGGGTCATCTTTTCGTTTGCTTATTTCCCATCCGTGTTACCTTCCGTGGTGAGGTGTCTCTTAGGGTCTTTGGTCCATTTTTTGATCAGGTCGTTTGTTGTTTTGCGGTAAAGTTTTAAACGTTCCTTGTATGTTTTGGATAATAGTCTTTCGTCAGTTGTGTCTTTTGTAAATATTTTCTCCCAGTCTGTAGCTGGTCTTTTCATTCTCTTGAGAGCAGAATTTTTAAATTTCAATTAAATTCCGTTAGTCAGTTCTCTCTTCGTGGATCGTGCCTTTGGTTTTGTACCAGAAAAGTCATCACTTAACCCAGGGTCATCCCGATTTTCTGCTCCGTTGTCTCCTGGGAGTTTGACAGGTCTGCGTTTCACGTTGACTCTTCCAACTCATTTCGAGTTCATTTTCAAAAAGGGTGCGAAATCTGTGTCTGGACTCATTTTTTTGCACGTGGCTGCCCAGTTGTTCCCGTGTCCTGCTGGAACAGACTGTCTGCTCTGCCGTGGTGCCGCTGTCCCTTCGTCACAGACCAGTTGACCGTGTTTGCGCGGGTCTCTTCCCCGGCTCCCTGTCCGTCCCGCTGACCTGTCCCTCACCAACGCCACCCGCTGCCTCGACCACCGTAGTTATGGTTCTGAAACCCGCCGCGGTGGCCGTTCGGGGTCCTCTGCCTCCGGGAAACCGCACACGCGCTCGCGTGCGAGTGGGGAGCGCGTCGCACCCGCAGTCAGGGTGGCAGGAGCCGACGGCTTGACTGTCACGCCTTCATGTCCGTGCACGCGGAGCCCCCCCCCCGCCCTTCGCTCTTTGGTATTTTGACCAGAGGTTCCTAGTCTGATTCCTCTAGGGCTCGGACGGATTTTGCCGGATCTGCACTGAGACGTTCCTCTTCAGGGGGAGCTCGTGTAAGTGTTGATTTTAATTTCAGATTCCGCTGTTCTAGGCTGACGGGCAGGACGGCCGTTGGCTTGGATGTCAACCTCGGACCCTGCAATCTTTGCTGTCACCACTTACTAGTGTCAGCTTAGGTCACATTTGCAGAATTAGGGGCCCAGTTTATGAGGGTTCCAGTTTACAGAATTTTAGAGAAAACTGTAAAACCAGAGACTGTACATCGCTGTGCCTGTCACCCAGCTAAAGTACAGTCTCTGATTTCAGAAGGCGTGTTTGCGTGTTGAACTTTTTAAACTTTCCTTAAAGAATGAGTGACTCGTGGCCAGAGCGCAGATGGCAGGAGCTGGTGGCCCAGCCCATGTGTGCTAGAGCCCGCGTCCCGGAGTGCAGAGCGTGGCCAGGTCGGCCCTTGGTTCACGGCCGGCTCTGCCGCTCCGGGCTTGACGTCTGGCCGGGCTCCACACAGCTGCCCTCCTCCCCGAGAGGACAGTGTCCCTATGAAGCCTTTCATAAGCCGAAATGGCGTGAGGCGGAGGACCCCCACCTTCCAAAAGCCTGCGTGACGCTGCCTGCCTCACGGCAGACTGGGCACCCGTTCGGGGCGCCTGCAAGAACCAGCTCTGTCCCCCAGCGTTGGTGAGGGCAGGCGAAGGGGACCCTGACACACGTCCTGGGAACTGCCTTGGTCACCAGAGCTGCGGCCGTGTCCCTGCCACTCCGCTTCCGTGTAGAAACACGCTACTGTGCCCCGAGAGCAGCGGCCAGTGGCCTTCCCTGCAGTCCCGTCCTGTCCCACATGGGCCCCGCTGGGAGGGCGGGGCCTGGACGACAGCTATGGCGCTGTGCGAGGCAGCGGTCCCCCTGCCAGAGACGAGCTCACGGCCCCAAGGCTGTGTGAGGGGGTCCCTGGAGCCATCAGAGGCTGTCCCCTCCTTACGTCAGAGCAATGGTGTCCCCATGCCTCTGGGTCCTGGTGAGGTTTCGGGGTCACATGAGGACCTGCTGCAGCCCTCGCTGGCGACCGGCCCACCCATGCCCTTCGCCTCGGAGGCGGGGCTGAAAATCCCGTCCACCCTAATCTGTCCATCTAACATCACGTCAGCACAAGCCGCATCTCAACGTCATTGTCATTCGGCCTTTTCCAGCAGACGCAGAATCCACGGTCGGTGGGTCAGCGCATCGTAGGAGGTGCTGTGGTAGCCCTCGCTTTGAGACACTGAAGCGTTTTGTCCTGCTCTGGCTTGTCCTTTTTAAGTCCCTTTACCATCTTTTTGAGTAACACAGCACATACCAGTAGCTCGAAGTGTTTCGTTTTCTGGAAGGCGGCCATCGGTCAGAACCCGGGTCTCACTTCACCCCTGGTCGGGCATCTGCATCGCCGAGTGGCGTGGGTCGAGTTTGGCCTTCGGAAATCTGGTTCTGAACCGCACCGAGAGGTCTGCATGTCCGTCCAGCTGCCCTCACGGCCCATAGGACGAGGAATCGGACCAGGACAGGGCGCAGCCCCGGCTCCTTCGTGACGTGGCTTAGCGAGTCGCAGAGACCCTGGTCGCTTGCGGCCTCTGACCCCTGCGGGGAAGTCGGGCGGGGCTGCCTCACCCTGCCTTTCCCTTGTCCTGATGCACTGGGAGGCCCGGAGCCTGGGCCTGCGGGGCGGCTTTGGGGCCCCTCGTCCAGCTTTGTCGCTGGAAGTCGGGGAAGCCGGGCCGGAGCCTCGGCGGAGGTGGACAGGCTGTAGTGCGAGGCACACGGTTTCCAATCGCTTCAGCTGATCTCTTTCGCTTGATGCCGATTGTGAGTTAGTTCCGGTCTCTGAAACGATTCTGTTCGTGTTTTCAGTCTCCGTTCTTAAATGCTTCTTGCTGAAGCGGACGAATGCAGCGCAATCCTAAAGAGAAAGGCACCCCCAGACCGGCCGGCCTCCCGCAAACGCGGGCTCGCGGTTCCCGCTTACCGTGAAGTAGATTCTCTGTAGGAAAGGAACGTGCGTTCTTTAGTTTTAAAACAGGAAGGCGAGAAAAGACAGGGAGACTCCTGACTCGGGCCCGTCGCCCACGTGCAGCCACGGGAGGCCGCCGTCCTCCCGCGGGGCGCGGGGTCCAGGCGAGGCGGAGCGGCGGTCTTGCGCCCGGCCTTGCGCTCGTCTCCCGTGTCTCCGGACCTCGGCCGCTGCTCCGTGGGCCGCCCTTCGGCATTACTTTTCCGGAATCCTCCGCGGTCACTCACGCTGTCGCGGCTCCGAGCAGGGCGCTGGTTGGGGGTCCTGCCTGGCCGCACACTCCCCCCCTCCAGCTGTGGCTGTGCCCTCGTCCCACGCAGACCACAGGGACACTGAGGAGGGGCCTCCCGTGGGACACCAGGCACAGTGGCGCAGCCGGGTGACATCGCCGGTGTCTGTGTGTCCCCTCTCCCGTCTGCCGTGGGGCAGCTGCGTCTCTGGGTCGCTCACTCGCCGCGCCTGGGAACTGGGGCAGAGGGCGTTTACCTGGATGCACCTGCCGCAGGCCACAGGTGCAAGTCCTCCATCGACCCCAGGCCACCATCGGCGACCGCCCCGTGCCCCACAGACGTGTCAGCACACTGCCTCCCCTGTCCGCAGCCTGCAACGTGTGGTACCTGAACTCGGTGGAGATGGAGTCCCTCACGGGCCACCAGGCCGTCCAGAAGGCCCTGAGCGTCACCCTGGCCCAGCAGCCCCCGCCCCTGTCCACCGTCGTGCACTTCAAGGTGTCGGCCCAGGGCATCACGCTGACGGACAGCCAGAGGCGGTGAGTGTCACGTGGGCCGCGGGGCAGGGTCGGCTGTCCTGGGGGGTGACCGTCACCTGTCTGGCTGTGCTTCCCCAGTGCCAGGCGGGTCCCAGGAGCCGCGTGTGAACTACCCGTGTGTGGCCCAAGTGCTTATTTCTGGGGAAAAAGCAAAATTAAAAA